CAAACAGACATGTCAAGCATTGGAAACCCAATACGTGTTTGTTGGTTTTATGGCGCTGGGAAACTGTCTTGGCAGTCTTGATTTTTGTCCAATCATTTTACTTTTTTGCAAGAGAGCTCCTTTACATGTAAGCATTCAGTAACATTCACTGATAAAAAAAAAAAGACACATTTGTCAATATTTCGGAGGAATACTTTGCTAGAGCAAAATGTGACATGGAACATTTATTCATCATTGTTATTCATCCATACCTGCTAGAAACTTACTTACGGTCATATAACTCAAAGCATTCTAAATAGTGGGGTTATATGTAATTATTTATACAGACTCCTTTATGCTAAAACCTATTGATCAGAACTCCACGTGATGCCTACATTGGAAAAATACAGCAGTCTATGCCACCTGAAGCCCATGTGTTTTATTTTTTAGGTGCTGATGAAAGATATTGCGACACCTATTCCTCCTGAGGAAGTAAAGAAAGTAATTAGAAGGTGCCTTGAAAAAGCTGCTCTAATTAATTACACCCGACTTACAGAATATGCCAAAATAGAAGGTTGGTGAATGTAGTGTCTGTCACTGATATTCAATAAAAATTGTATATTACACATCAGCATATTTTGAAATATTGGGATAATTTTCCTGGATTTTTTTTTTTTTTTAATTATTATTGGTTATTTTTTTGTACAATTGTCACAAAATATTAGAAACTCCCCACTGACTGGCTATTAAGATGTTTTAAGGCCTGCCCACCTGGCTATCGTGGCCCACTAGACATTTTCCTAAATTGCCTGAAGACCTAGCATTTTCCATTATAGTTACAGTTTAAAAATATATAAAATTAAATATATGTAACTAAAATGTCATACAGCTGTAAAAAGTATATGTTGGTAGTTGTGAGTGAAATATCTTTTTAACCATAACAAAAACAAAGCCAAATGTTTATTCAATGAGAAACTGTATTACATTTAGAAATAATTTTGGAGAATAGTGTTTTTTTTTTGTCTTCTACAAGTACACATATTAGTATACTAGGCGTAAACCTCGACAATCTGATATCCTCTTACTTTATAAAAAATAAAAGATTTGTACATTACCTCAAATCAGATAAAATGTTCTGTTTTAAAAGCATAATGATTTAATATATCACAAATAAAATGTATCAGATTAATAAGAAAATATATACCATATAAGTACTTAGGTACGAGTCTCTGTTTGTCAGAATAAACAGTAATGATCTAACATTTAATAACACTTTGCCAAAATATAAGACCATCTGTGATTTTATTTTCTACTTGGTTTTTTTTTGTCTTTCAATTTAATTAAGAGCTAGAAATCTAAATAATGCTACTCGATTTTTGCTATATGATTGTTAATTCTACAAAAATTACTTCTCCAGAAATAGATGAGCATGTAAGTTGCTGATTAAATTTGTATATTTTTTTTTTTCTGATAATCAGTTTAACATTTTCTGGGTTTTATTTCTGGGAAGATTAAACAGGCAGTTTAATGAGATGAGCGTTCCTTGTCAGATGTCCATTTAACAGATACATTCTTTCCTGGTCACTCTCTATGACAGGCATAAATAAAACAAACTGGATTAATTAAGGAAGGCAAAAAGACCACTCCATTACTATGGAAACATACATTATACAACAGGTGTAAAAGAGAAAATTCTCTTGTTGCCAGCTTATCATAATTAACTATGATATTTTTTATTTGTGAATGTATTTTGCAGAAGCATGAACAAAATTGAAGAACACTGTCAATTTGAAACAAAGGATCATGACAGTGTGTACATATACATTATAAAACACACATTTAAATTAAATAAGCTTTATATAAAGTTTTAAACTCATTGTATAGAGCAAGTATAAAACAAAGAATGCTTATTCACCAAATTGGTAAAAACGTAAATATACTTATTTGCTGTTTAATGTGTTTTGCAACTTTATGTAGACACACTAAGAAGGGTAGACAATAATAGATTAATGCCACACCAGGAATGGTTTTTTTATTTTATTTTTTTATATCTGACGGAGCCTCATTTCGGAGTAAAAATAGGTCTCAGTTAAAAGGAACACTACGGTGTTAGGAACACAAACCTATATTCCTATTGCTACAGGGTCCTTGCCCATAGTTAGGTTAGTGTCCTTCTCCCTTGTTTGCAATAAAACTATGTGAAAAAGTATTACTCACCTTTGTCCAGCTGCTGACCTCTTTGCCTCCCACAATGTATTCAGGACACATTGCCTCATCGCTAGTCTGATGCATAAAGGAGAACTGAGAACTTGGTTTGCCTTTTATCTGGCTGCTTTTATTGACAAACAAAGGCTCAAGGTGTCCATTTTCATACCACTAATTTCTAGCTTATAACCTTTGTTGATGCATGTTTGTTCCAGTTTGACTTTTGTCCATACACTAGAAATATCTAATTGTTATCATATGAGTAAAAACTTGACTGGAGGACAGTGGAAGAAAAGTGTCACCAAAATTTCCAAAGAAAATAGTTCTAGAGTTTAGAATTTATTTTTTTCACGTGTTTAATCAGGGTTGTTTTAACCCCTTAAGGACCAAACTTCTAGAATAAAAGGGAATCATGACATGTCACACATGTCATGTGTCTTTAAGGGGTTAAACTAATTATTACACATGCAGTAGAGGTGACTAACAAAGTACATACAAGTCTCCCAAAAAATCCTTAAAAATGTATATGTTGTTTGCCTATCAGTTCATAGAATTTAAGAAATCTACTCCATTTGTACAGCAAAGGTATATTGATGACTATTTCCACATGTATTTGTCTTGTTCATATTTTTTTTTAATGTGAAGTGGTCTGAGGTTTACAAAATATACATACATAAGCTGGAGCTGGTATAAATCTGTGAAAATAAAACAGAATAATAGTGCAATATATAAAAGTAATGAGATTTGGAGTGTCACTCACAAGTGAAGAGCCATTAGCTTTATATGGCTCAGATGGAAAGCGTAGTAGGACGCTTGGAGGAGGTCCAACTTCTATTACTCCTGGTCTGTGCTGTATACCTCTGGTAACCTGGACACAGGATGCTGGAGATGTAGCTTGTAAAAGATGCTTTTATTCAAGTAAATCATTAAAATAAAATTATATAAAAGTATAAAAGTCTTTGGGGTTATGTGGAAACTATGGTCCCAAACCCGTTTTGCCCCTGTAATGGGGCTTCCTCAGTTGGTTTCAATAACTTGCTGTGTCTGCTCTGTTTTAAATATGCAATTTTTCCTCCACTTCCGGTTCAGAAGTTGCAATACATCACTTCCGGTTTTACTCTGTGTTGGAAAGCACCGTGCTTTCTATTGGCTCTATTTTGACATCTGGAAACTTTATTGTACTCTGAAATGTCCATACATATGAAGGGAAACAGGAATATAGTTGTGTGTATTCCTGTTATTATGTTTAAACAGTACATCATGGCTAGACAAGAAAGTGCAAATGCTTATAAATATTAAATCTCATGTAATGGAAGACAAAAAATGTTGCTGTATCTGAATATTATACATCCTATAACAGGAACCAATAATGTTACTGCATGCAAAAGTGTTATATCTCAATAATTCCTATCTTATGACAGAGAACAAAAGTGCTGCTGCACATGAATTCTGTATACCCTATAGTAGGAAACAAAAGTAATATTGCATTTGAATGCCATATACCTTATGTCAGTTAAACAAAAGTGCTGTTGTGTATGAGTGCTAAATACCTTATGGCAGGAATTCCTTCCTAAATATGCAGCAGAACAAAAGTGCTGCTGTATATGAATTATGTATACCTTACAGCAGAGAAAAAAAACAATTGCATTTGAATACTATATACCTTATGCAGGAAACAAAAGTGCTGGTGTGTATGAGTACCAAATTCCTTATGGCAGGAGATAAGGGTGCTACTACATATGAATACTGTATACCGTGTAGTAGAAAACTAAACTGCTGTTGCATGTGAATACTATATACATTGACAAGCAACAGAAGTGCTATTGCATGTAGATGTGATATATATATCATATGGTCACTATTTAACATGTATCCAACTGACATATATACATCTTATTGAAATAGAACAGGGGTACAATTGCATTCTTATGCTGTATAGTTAGTCATTTATATTTTAGTATATGGTGGAGATAAATATGCTTACTACACTTTTAGTATCTGAATTACAGAAAAATATTTTTATCGAGCTAGGGTTGTGACTTGTTCCCATGAGCTTCTGTATCCTTCTTAAGAGCATAGTAAAAGAAAATTGTGATATATACATTCAGGAAACGAGTGAGGACGGGAAGGTAAAAATGATGCGCCCATTTCTGTGCATGGGGGGTTTTAATTCATAAAATGACATAGCTCGAAGTCTTGATTAAGGCCACGGGGAATCATTGTATTAAAGTTAAAAATGAATTGCATTTCTTCTATTCCTATTTTTTTTATTAAAATCTCCTCCCCTCCAATCTTTTTTTTAATTAATTTTATGGCACAGAAAAATAGTCCTTCTGGATTCTGATTGTGATGTTGTTTAAAGTGTCTAGAGACGCTGTGTGACTCCAGTCCCTTTCTGATATTTCTCACATGTTCAGACACTCGTATGTTGGTACATCGCATTGTTCTCCCTGTATATACCAAGTTGCAGGGACAGTGCATAAATTACACCCTTAGAGTGGCATGTTAGATGATCTTTAATTTGGAACGTCTTGTTTATATGTGGTTTTAAATCTGTAACGTCTATTTTTTTTATTTTTTTTTTAGTTGTTCTGCAGGCTAGGCAGGAGCCACATCTATAGAATCCTGCACTTTGCTGCAGGAAACTATTCTTTGGAATTTTTGGTTTATAGCTACTCTCAACTAGCGTGCTCTTTAGGTTCCTCGCTCCTCTGTA